TTGAGAGAAAACCAATGCGAATGCCACCCTTTGTTAGAGATCAACAGCCGCATTGCCAGGTAGTCGCCGACCCGGTTATTCCGAAGCTGGATGCCGGCGCATCCCATCGGCGTACTCAGCTCCTGCCTCTTCTCCCTCTTTTTCTAGAGGGTGACGATGAAGAAGTGCCACCACAGATCAAAGTGGGGGCCGATCCCCAGGAATCCCTCACACAGGGCGATGAACGCCACCATGTGTTGGATCCTATTGGGGTTGAGGTGTTGCAGCTCTATCTTGTAATAGTGTAGCAATCCTCAAATTAATCTGTGGGTGGGGGTGGCGAACCCGCGCTCATGGAAGCGCGTGAACGAGACGACGTAGCCATCGGGCGGCGACGTCACGTCCTCCTCGCTAGGCAGCCGCCACTCCTCGGCGGCGGTCCGTGCGTAGAGAAGAACGCGGCGGACAAGGCCCTCTAGGCGCTGGAGGGTGATTTTAGAGCGGCACCACGGCTCCATTGGAAGATGGGGGTAGGTGGATGCGAACTCGATGACGGATGAGACGCGGATGCGAGGAGCTTAGGCGATTGGTGGCGGAGGTGGTAGATGCGAAGGCAAGGAGGCAAAGTATGAAACACTAGGGGTGAACCTTTTGGTTTTATAGAGGCGACGGATGCGAGGAAACCAACCGTCCATCTAGATCTCTACGCCTCCCACGATCTACCACAATGTCACGCCATGGGATACGCGCACACAATCCCTATCCTTTCCTTCGGAAAACTCGTCGGACGTTTCGCCTCACCGGATGGACCGAGACTCATTACGAGTAAGAGGAATACGGATAAAAAACGCATCTATGGCCTGTCTGGGCCTAGGAGTCCGACGGTTGGCCCATCAACGAATCCAACAGCCGCTCCAAGCACCCCTCGATAAAGGGATGGAAAGAGCTGGGCCTCGTAAGCGACCAGCGCCATGGGCATCTCAGCTCACGATTGAGTCTCAGCCAATCAGACCCTGGTCGGATCCCCACGAACGGGATACCGGGACCCCAATCGAACTATCTAGCTAACAAACCATCAAAACTCACGACCGCACCCGCGAAGGGTCCGACCTCGGCAAAATGGGAATCGCCATCCCTAGGGCACGCTGTGGGCGACAAGAGAAAGCCAAGGCCCGCAGAGTCATCCCTTTAGAAAAAACCTCCGAAGGAGTATTCTACTCCTCCGTAGGCTCGGGGGCTACACCCACCGGGTGCACTCGCGTGCACCCACTGGCAAGTCGAAAGATCCCCCAGACGATTCTACTCAAATTGCTCGGGGGCTACTGTCAGGGACCAATATTAGGGTACCCGAAGAAGAGGAGTTGATACCCATCAACGCTAATTCGTCAGAGCGATCAAGAACGCGACTATATTTCCTAGTGGGCCCCGCCTCGGTGGACGGTGCGGCCGCGGACCCCATCTCGCCCGACCCCCGAGGGTTGGCTCTGCCTCAGGCGGACTCCCGAGGGCTGTCTCCGCCTCGCCCGACGTCCGAGAGATGGCTCCGCCTCTCCCGACATCTGTTGGCTCCGCCTCGCCCGACGTCCGAGGGATGGCTCCGCCTCGCCCGACATCTGGGGGCTGGCTCCGTCTCGCCCAACGTTCGAGGGCTGGTTCTGCCTTGCCCGATGTCTGGGGGCTGGCTTCGCCTCGCCCGATGTCCGAGGGCTGGCTCCGCCTCGCCGACGTCTGCGCGCAACTCCTTCATAATGACGCGCGCGATAAGGCAGGGCACTCAAGTCAACCGCAATATCGAGAACCATACCCTGCACGCCTGTAGAAAAGTACCGTCAGGATATGATAAAAAGGACACTTTGAGACCTTCCATGCATGTCGGAGCCCAAACAGGATTGTAGGCGTCGATATTTGTCTTACAGTGTTGTGGGCGCCACCATTTGCCTTCGGGCACGGATCCTGACGGAAGCTCACGACAACCACTACGGTGCAGGAGGAAACCCGCCTCACCTACAGTAACGGACGTGCGGTCACTGCGTCGTCTGCTCCCTGTATGGCCGTGGATCAACACCCTGGTCTGCCACGCCGCCCGCCGGGCAGGATAGGACGTGACAACTTGCTGACAATGCCAGGACATGGCATCATTAGCGGACAGACGACCAATGCGGCCTTATCAGCATCAGCGGACATGCACCCAACATGGAGCTATCCCTGACACCGCCATGTCAGCGGGGCCCCACTGAGAAAAAGAAAAACCCGACGTCTTTAAAGGACGTCCTTCGTCACTGGTGGCGTGGATGGAGAAGCACCGGCAGATGTACGAGCGGGCCACCCGGCACCCGTTCACCGTCTCCATCCGCGAAGGTACCGTCGACATGTCTGCCTTCAAGCGCTGGCTGGTCAGTCTCAGTCCCTCTATTTCCCCCATCAACTGATGCAGTGAAGCTCTCGTTGTGTAACGCCTTCAACTGCGAGGAAATTGACGTGAGCTAAGCTTTGACCTTTAATGATTCTTGGCTCGCGGGGTCGGGGCATCGAGCTCTGGACATCAAGTTAAATACAACCAAGAAGTCTTGGAGTTGCTACTAAGATAGCGAAAATTAGTGTGGACGGCTATAGAATTGAGTGATCAGTTGCGTGATTTTGTCAGAGGTGGTTTTGGAAGAACTGTGAATTTGAAATGGAACCTGAAAGCATGAAGGCAAAAAATCTTTATAGATATATATACTGTGAGTGTGAAGATCTTGTGTTTCCAAAGGACTAGTCACTCTGAATGTCGTCATTCTGTTGTTTCTTCTGGTTGACAATCTTTATAGGTATATACTGTGAGTGTGAAGATCTTGCGTTTCCAAAGGACTAGTCACTCTGAATGTCATCATTCTGTTGTTTCTTCCGGTTTACAAAAGTAACGCCGGAATCGGCTCTTAGTTGGCACTGTCCAATTGTGATAGTGTAAAGTGATGAAGGATATGTTCAGGGAACTGTGCAAAAAATTAACTCAACTCTAGTTGAGCATAGTATTCTGCAAGAAAATAAATAAAACTAATAAAAAAAGAGTTACTCTATATGATCTTGGGTTCTTTTTCTAGTTGAAAGAATTTTGGTGGTTGATAATTATAAGTTAAATTATGATATCTTGTAGTACAGCAGTAGGGGATCTTACAGTTGTCTATATAGTGATCAATTTGTGTTGGTTAATTTTCTTTCTGTGATTTTCTTAAATAAATTTCATTTTTGTTATGAGTACCATGAGTGGAAAAAATAAATAGACTTGTTTCTTTGCCATATTCAGAGCCAGGACTATCTGTTTGTAAGGGAATTTGTTGCATTTATAGCAAGTGTATTGCTCAAATGCTGCAAGCAAGAAGACAGCTCGGACATGGAACTTATCCTGGGTGGAGTAGCTTCTATTAGCGATGAGATCTCTTGGTTCAAGAATGAAGCTACCAGATGGGGAGTCGATCTAGCAAGTGTTTCTCCCTTAAAAGCCAATTTAGAGTACCACAGGTTCATCTCGTTCAAACATTTGTAGAATTCCCACACAATAGCATTACTGGAGATCTATAACCGGCATTAACCTTGTTGTCGTGATGTCGTCAGGTTTCTCCAGAGCTTTACTGAGCCAGAGGTTAGTTATGTTGTTGCAGTAACTACCTTCTGGATAATTGAAACGGTATACCAGGACAGCTTTGGTTTCTGTATACAAGATGGTAATAAGACTCCACCGGAGCTCCTGGGGACCTGCCAGAGATGGGGCAGCGTTGGGTTCAGACAGTACTGCCAGTCTCTGCGGAGCATCGTGGATCGCTGCTTGGCTAATGCACCAGCTGATGCTGTCAAGAGTGCTGAAGAGGCCTTCATCCGGGTACTCGAGCTGGAAATTGGTTTCTGGGAAATGAGCTCTTCTCAATCCTAATTAGCAGCGTATTCTCTAAGTCCAAACATCAATACAAATAATCGAACGAAATAAATGGTGCTTTGGGCTCAGACCCAAGCATGAGTTGTATTTTGCCCCCTTTTCCCCTGTCACCTTACTCCTGTATCTTTGGTTCAGACACAAATAATTGATATGATGCTGCCATGTGATACCAAATCAGATTTGCTATATCATGCTCAGGTGAAAACGTCCCTCTTACACTCAATTTTTGTGAGCAGTTTATAAGAAAAAAAATTCGGATGATTTAGAGAAATTCTACACCTAGATTAAATGTGTTGTAAAAATCGGGTTGAATATTCCTTCGCCACGCTCAAATTTTTAGTTATATCAATTCCACTTAGAAATTATACCAAAGTAGTCACCTTATAGATCTAGTAAAAGTAAAGACCAGTGTAAATCTATCATAAGTTAGTAGTAATTAAAATTGGGGCGTGGAAGAGCAGAATTTCACATGAATTTTACTTTTATTCCCTTTCATGCATATTTTATTTAGAAAGAAGAAATAAAGCAAAGCAAAAGAATTTAGGTGTGACGGAGAATATTTTTAACTGGATACAGAGTAAACAATTCCGTCCCAAATACTTTGTCCAGTCTGAAATTTCTCAATACAACTTCTGACACGCAGTACTATTGACACATATATTGGACTAAGGCCCTGTCCGACTTACCTTAAATCCGGTTTGTTCAGCTTTTTTTTTAGCTAGAACGGTATTTTTCTCTCACAACATTTCAGGCAGAACAATGTTTTTCAGCCAAGTTTCAACAAGCCGAACGGGCCCTAGACGTTAAATTGGCGATAATTTACAGAATTGCACGTAGTATAATCATCAAGTACCAGAAGCACACAATCAAATAAATTTCTAAGGATTACATCCTGCCTTGGAATTACAGTAGGAGCTTCTAAATGTTTCTAGTAAACAACAAACCTCGCTTTATTCCACACCAAGCCAAGACTAATAAAAAACTCAAACACCAAAGGTGACGAAGGAGCCAGTCCATCATCCACTGCATGTCTACTTGTTGCCTTTGCCATCATGCCAAAGCTAGCTAGATCAAGCGAAAGCGATGGCGGAATCCAGCCTCGCGCGGTTCAGTCCTCGTACGTGCGGCACTCGTCGGTCTCGGGGTTGTCCTTGCAGTACTCCTCGAGCGGGTCGACGCCCTTCTGCCGGTCGCGCGCGTGGCTGGCGGTCGCGCTGAGCTCCTCCACCTCGTCCCACGCCGCCACGCACTCGGCGCTCACCGGGTCATCCGCGCACGTCTCCTTTGCTTGATGCTCTCGGACGCCTGGTTGGCAAGCAGCCTGTTCGTTTGGCTGTATCGTTTCGTTGCTGGTTCGTAAAGAAGTACTGCTGACTGGTTTGTGTGAGAGAAAAATAATATTTCGGTTGAAATTTTACGATCGTTTACGACAAACCACAGCCAAACGAACAGGCTGAAGATACAGCGGCGTGGCCGGTGAGCTGGCCGCCACGGACACCAACCGGCGGTGCGTGCGCACCGGCCGAACGAAGAACGACACGACGTTCTGGCGGGACGACAGCTGGGGCGGGCGCCGTGGGAGGTTTCTTGGTGCCGAGAAAGCGGCTAGGGCGGCCACGGAGGTGACCGAGGTGGCCATGGCTTGACGAGTGGGTACTCTGGGAGTAGCGATAGAGAGAAGAGAAGAGGTTTTTGGTTGCGTTGGGCTGGTGATCTGTCTTATGAGGTTTCCCCTCTTATCCCTTTCCTGCCAATTGTGTGGTGACAGATCAGCCACGGCAGATTTTCATTCTAGAAAGCTCTTTCCCTTTACTAATTTTTCTTATTTCCATGGCTAATTGAGCTGCGGTATTCGACTAAAAGAATTAGTAGTTGTTAATAAGTCAATTTAAGTAATTGTGTCCTTGCTATTCTAACCTCTGTTATTATTTGGTGGGCAATTTTTACACTAGTATTCCTTCCGTCCAAAAATGATAAATGCATTTGAGCATTGGAAAAAGGGCCATGTGTCTGACGTCTGGAAGGACGTGCGCTCGGACACCCACGCACCCATGTGCTGCTGCGCCCCGCGCGTGCTATTGCTGCTCCTGCCCGCGTGCTGCTGCTGGGCCTACCCCCGCTTGCTGATGCGTCTCCACGGGAAAGCATGCACGTGGGGCCCGTCCAGATGCATGCGAGAGAGAGAGAGGGAGCTCTGTGTTGACCCGGTCGCATGCTGCACCATGGGGGCCACGTATGGTGGTGCAGGGGCGTCTAGTTTGCGTCCGTTTGGTGTTGGCCTGCTCAGTGCTATGCAATCTACATGCGTGCATGCACTTTGACCAGGGAGTGCTCGGCCGTTTGGGCGTTGACCGCTCGTTGCGTGCACGTCCCGAGTATTGGAGTTGGCCCTCATGACATAGATAGGCAGCGCTGGCTGGGTGCGTGCAGCGCGTACTTGACCGCAAGTCAAAGCGCGTGGGGAGCAGCACTTGCTGCAGCATACGTCTGAAACAAGGTGAAACATTACAAACATAAGCTTGCATATAGCCACTACAACATACGTCTGAAATAGGTGAAACATTTGAAACACACATTTGCAACATACGTGTATAGTCACTATAACATATGCAACATCCTAGTGAAACACATGCAACATCCAGATGAAACAACTGAAACATTTGGAATACACTCTTGCAACATTTATCTAAAAACAGCTAAAACTTGTGGAACATACGCTTGCAACATACATATATATCCATTTGAAAGGTCCTAATGGCTAGAGAGGGTGAATAGCCTATTAAAAAATTTCTACAACAACACTTAAGCCAAGTGGTTAGATAATTAAACGGCGAAGCGAGTGTTACACTAGCCTACTAAAAAAGCAAGACTCCTATCCACAATTCTAGTTATGATCTCTAATTCACATAAGAGGCTAAGTCACTACTCTCTAAGTTAGTGAGCTCTCAAAGACCAACTAAAGAGCCTCACTAACCACTAGAGAAGACATAAGTTAGCTCTCAAAACTAATTACACTAAAGAGCTTAGTTACACTAGGAATATAAATGCAAGAGAGGTAGTGAAGTTATACTGCCGTGGCAAGAGATGATCAATCAATCACAATGAATACCAATGAAATCCTCGGAGACAAGATGACACAATGATTTTTCACCGAGGTTCACTTGCTTGCCGACAAGCTAGTCCCCGTTGTGGCGATTCACTCACTTGGAGGTTCACGCGCTAATAGGCATCACACGCCTAACCCACAATTGGGTGCCGCAGAACCAACACAAGATGAGGATAAAAGCCACCAGCAATCCACTAGAGCACCTTTTGACTCTCCGTTGGGGAAAGGTCAAGAACCCCTCACAATCACCACGGTCGGAGTCGGAGACAAGCACCATCCTCCGCTCAACGATCCTCGCTGCACCAAGTCGTCTAGGTGGCGGCAATCACCAAGAGTAATAAGCAAATCCTACAGCAAAACACAATTACCAAGTGCCTCTAGATACAATCACTCAAAGCAATGCACTTGGATACTCTCAAATCTCACTAGATGATGATCCAATCAAGCAAGGTGAGTTAGAGAGTGTTGGCTATGCTCATAAGGATGTATACTCAATACAAATGGCCAAGAGGGTGAGCAAGAGCCGACCATGGGGCTTAAATAGGAGCTCCCATGAAATAGAGCCATTGGGCTCAACAAGCAGCTCACTGCACGACGACCGGACGCGCCTGTAACACCCTAGGTGTTAAGCTTGCATATTACACTTGCATTGCATGATCATAAGCATCATCCATCCATTCATAATCATGAGAATGTGGTGATGTATTTTCTTGTTATGTTTATTTCCATAAAATGCTTGGGTTAGCCATATGTATGCTTCATGATCATGCTTGTTAATGCAAGTGATTGTTGTTTGGCCACTAAACCAACCTAGGCACACTTAGGATAAAAAATGAAATAATGTTTATATTCATGATTTAATCTGAAATTGCTTCTATGTGTGTGAGTAGCTAAAAATGACTTTTTCAAGATGTTGTTTTGACCTATGTTGATCTGTTGCTTAGTGTGTCTGCATGGAGTTGGACCTTAAATAAAAGTTGTAGTTCAGATTGAGTAAAGCAAATTTTGTTCAAGGGTCAAGATCTAGTTTAGTCTCTAACCTAGTATAACAGAGCCCCCAAATTGGAACCCAGTGCTGTTTTCAGGTTCCCGAATTTTGGCTAACTCTGAGAACTGAACTACGTCGGTTTCAGTTTCGATGTAGCCCTCTTTGGGAATTTGTATCTTGCAAACCGGTTCGATTTGGACCAAGCCCCTTTAAGCAAAGTTGTAGTATTCATGTGGCTCTACAACATGGTGCAATCGGTTAAATCAATCATCAAATAGTTTGGGAGATTGAGAGAGGAGATATTAGAGTTTCAGTCGGGTCATCGAAGTTCTTCAAAACGCCATCAGGCGTGGGTGGCCGACCGGCCTCGGGCCGCACACACCGCGTGGCACCGTCGCTCGCTGCAACTCGCTCGAATTGGAGAAGCCGGCGCCCTCTGCTCTCTCCATCTTGCTCATTCTCGCTCTCTGCCTCACTCTCTCTCGCCCGCCTTGGTCATCCGTCGAGCAGAGCTGCTGCACCACTGCTTGCTCCCCTACTTCGAGCCTCCTCCGTTTCTCCCATGCACTGCGATGCCTTAGCCGTCGTGCACCACAGCCGACGCACCGCTTCTTCTCACCTAGAGCAGCCAGCCGCTGCCACCCTCGCGTCGTCGCCAGAGCGCTATGCTCGCTGCGGCCACTCGCTCACGTGGCTAGGCCACCTCGATCGGTTGCAGCCCGAGCCGGACAGCCCTGTGGCCGCGCATGGGCCCCTGGATGGGCGCACGGCCCCACCATGGCCACCGTCGGTGACCCCATCGCCTAAATCCGGTGGCCCCAACCGTCCCTGCTCTGCTTTCCGTCAAGAAGAAGAAGAGAAGGGGGAAAAAGGAAATAGAAACTTTTCTCTAGGTCCAGTTGTGAATCCTATGACTCATTAGAATAGTAGCTTTGGTCTGTGGTGTGATTTGTGAAATCTCTAGGGTTCCTGGTGCAAATGTGTTTTTTTTTGTTAATCCTTTTCTTTTATGCTTATGATTGGCTGAAACTTTGGAAAATCATAGTAATTCATAGAAAAATGCTAAAATAGGAAATGAAGATGTTTTAGAATCTTTGTGAGTAGATCTATGCAGTACATGTATAATCTTGTATGTTTTAGTAGAAAAATCTTGCTGTAGATTTGTATCTATGTTTTTAGGGTTTTCTAGGAATAAATTCATATATGTAGTTGTGGTGCTCCAATTGATGTAAAACTTTTATGGTATGCTACTTATGTGATTCTTGTGTTGTGGTAAAAATTTCAGCTTCATTGGTGCATGTATGACAGAGTTATTGATTTAACTTGTTTAGTGCTTGTTAAATGGTTTATAAATAATATACATGTGTAAAAATGGAAAATGTGGTTCCGCTAGCTTTGCATGATGTTGTTGTAACCTAAGGAACCTTATTATAGCCATGTGTTTACAGAAAATAGTCATTCGTAGATTTATCTTGCTCTCACATGCGTATTGCAATAAAAACTTGTTTTTATTGTAATAATTAATCTACTAAACCTGAGCATGTAATCTTTGTACAGTGGTGAAAGGTCCTTGTTTGGTTTTGATAATTGAGTGACAACCTTAGGTGGACTAATATGTGGTTGAGTGATATACAAAGGTGATTAGTCCACAAGTACATGTGTGTGAGCAATATATGCCATGATGGTGAAGATGGCTCGGAGTTGTTGTAAAGCTTACACATGTGATGATGAAGGAGCTCCTTGCACATTGTTGGTGCATGTGTTGCATCGACATTGGAGGAGTTGGAATGGAATGCACAAGGCAAAGGTATAACCTAGGGCATTTCATTTCACCAGTCATAGATGCGTAGAGAAGTTGATGACCGGGTTTAGGATAGATGGACGAACTATCAAGAGGGGTAAACTTGTTTGCATATCGGTCATCTAGTGCCACTCGAGTGATCTAACTTCGCATCATTGCTAGGATCGAGTGGCATGGTGAAAAGAGTGCTAATCCTTTGGGAAAATGTTTGTGAAAAGCTAACACATGTGCACAAGGTGGTGTATCTCTTAGTGGTGTTAGCACATTTACAAAGGAGAAGAAGGTGGAAGAGAGGAGGAGGTCGCAAGAGCTTGGGGTGCTTTCTGGACAATGGCGGACTGTCTGCCCTTTGGTGGTGGACTGTCCGCGGTCCTCGGACGCTGACGTTTGGGAGGGATCGAACGCGATGCTCGCACTGTTCATGGTATGACAAGTGAACGGCGGACTGTCCGCCGGCTAAAATCAGTGGCGAGCAGAGTTGTTGGAAATTCTGGCAAGGCACGAGTAGAGTGGCTGCGTTGATCGGACGCTGCATAGTAAAAGTGACCGGACGCGCAGGGTCTACGTCCGGTCAGTGGTGACGTACGCTGACATAGCGCGCTGAGTTGATCCAGAGGGAATTGGACGTGGACGTAGAGGCAAGTCCGGTCACCAAGGACCGGACACATTTGGTTTCAGAACAGAGGCCCGGGAGGTCTCTGGAAATGACTGAATGCTGGCTCATGGTGAGTCAGGTCATTTCCT